AAAGAAAGAAAGAAAGAAAGAAAGAAAGAAAGAAAGAAAGAAAGAAAGAAAGAAAGAAAGAAAGCTGTTTTTTCAGAAGTAAACGGAATGGATTGAACTGGCATAGACTGGAATATGATTGATTCAGCCATCCCTAATTATAACACCAGCAAAGCACCAGTCATTAAGGTGACATGATGGCCATGTAGAAAGAGAATGTATAAGTATCATTTTCAATGAAAGATTCCCATTATGCTCTGTTATGACCATCTTATTAATGGAGGGGTGGGGGATGTTAGACAATACGTCTACTGCTCTGCACTTAGCTCCATAGGAATGAATGCCAGTTATTATTTGTATCGGATAAAATAAGAGAGCGAAAGGGAGAGATTTAAGTAGATTGAGGATAAAACTTGCTCTTTGACTTCATCATTTTTTTAAAAAAATGGGAGGTGTTTATATCTGCTTAGCCTCAACCTGTCTTTTGTTCACTTGAGATTGTGACAAAACCATAGAGACTGGCTTTTTACTTACAGATGAACATGGAACATGTGGGGGGCTTTACCTTTGACAATCTGGTATTTTACAGCTTCCTTTTCCAACTTGTTTTGGAAACTTAATTGGAAATAATTCCTTAGCCAGTCATCTGTTGAAATGGCACGATGCCATTTTGCTTTGTGGGGATGAATCCAGAATGCACTGAATAAGGTTGATGGGTATAATTACTGTTAACAAAGAGGTGACCTAAGGCCTTCTAATAATTAGGTTACTTTTGTCAAGGAAGTTCTGTGGCAAACCATTGAAACTGTGAAGGATCTTTTAGGTTACCTATAAAACACTGTTTATAGAAACATACACTGCAAGGTAGATATCAAATTCAGATGTAACCAAGTGTTATCTAATTGTTATCATTTTATAAAGTCACTTACCCTCCTTATCCTGTTCTTTCTGTTCTCCTTAGGGATTGCCATCTGATAAAATAATGTCCTAGTGACTACTAGCAATAATGTTACCAGTTAAGATGGTTCATTTCTTTGCTTACCCCAGTTTCCTAAACTTGGTCAATAACCATTTATATAACTTGTGATAAATTAATTTGCAAGTGTGGAAGATTTGGGGTAAAATTGAAAAAGTGGAGCACTTGGGCTCTGTGATCAGTTGTCTATAGGATTCAGTGGTATGTAGATGGTATTCAAAGATAAGTACAAGGTGTCCATAGCTTAGAACTGTCCCCAACCATTACAAAGAATAAAGCAGTTGCCTCAGGTTGCAGATGACAACGTGTAGAGAGCAACACTCTCACCTTATACTCCTGAACTCTCCACTTTTAACCTTTTCCCTTTTGATCATTAGCAGCAATTTTACTTTGCCCAGATACTTTCTTCACAATGTCATTGACAGCATTACTGGGGAAAGCCTGTGTATGTGTGAGCAGAAAACAACCTTGCTCAGGACAAATGCCTCAGCAGGATACTTACATATGTCTGTTCATATGACACATATTGGTGCACTGCAGCATTTGTTGGCACCACTAGCCAGCAGTGCCAGGCAGAGAAATGAGCAGCCAGCAAGAACTTGGAGGGCAGAGAAGTTATCCTATTGCCTGCAAGTGTGTGAAGGAATGTTTGGATGAAGGCCACGCTCGGGGAAATAAGCATTCCCTTAGCCCCCAACAGGAGCGTGGGAAGTTTAAGAAGATGAGACTGGCACCACTGTAAGGAATTCATGGTGTTTTGGCTTGCTGGCTTGGGAAGTTAGATTCA